TACCCTATTTTGAATATCCTCAAATCGAATGGACTCATTATTTTAATTCTAAACAACAATTAAATAGTTTGTGGAATTATTAGTAAAATTTTATTCCGCTATGAAACGTTTCAACGTTTCATCTTATGATAAATGGTTTTCCCCAAATGTTTTAAGAGTAATACTCTTTACAAAACATTTATAGAAATCACACCCATATCTAATATGCTTTATTTCTTTTATGCAATTGTGAATGTTGTGGTTCACTTATTGCATAGGTTTAGTTATCATTACTTTGCAAATCTTAGCATCTTCATTATCGAACACTTTCATAATAAAATGATAAAATTTGAATGTTCTATGGATTACATGTGATCTAGGATTTATTGCCTAAGTGATGGCTCCCACTCATTTTCATGATTTGAGACCTTCAACTTGGCACCCTATAATCATCAAAGTTCAACAACGAACTATCCATTGAACAACATCTCTTTTTTTTGCTTTTAAGGCAACAATGTTCTCAACATATATTTCCATAGATTTTCTAATGATGCTTTGCTTGGATTTTACTCCAACCAGTTCACAATGATTTGGGATCATTTGTGATTATGGAATTTTACCTTAAATTTCTGCACAATACACATGGACTTAAGTTCATGTTGCCATTCTTAAGCCAAGACGCGTGTAAACTCGTGCTTGTAAATGGCTTCCTTATTAAGGATCTAATTCTTGCCAAGGTTGTGCTTGCAACATCAATACTCAAATTATATTTGATTCCATGCATCAAAAACTCATCCTCTTACTTAACCAAGTACTTTGGATGTTCTTGATCAAAATCTAACGATCCATTGCTTAGATTCAAGTCGATTGGTATTTTAAACTTGTCATGTTCTAAGCATGCATGTCATGTGACGATTCCATATTGTAGCATACATGATGGATTAAATTGCAGAAATATTCCCAATTTCATCCCGTTCATGTGACTTTTAGCTCATCCAATTTCACTAACTCTTGCTAAACTGTTTGCTATATGATACGATTGAAAGTCTCTACTAGAGTCTTTCTTGTTTGACTTAGTATTCGCCTGGCTTATACTTAATTCAACATTTGCTTAGTTTTATACATTTGGGTCGAAATCCCTTTAAGGTCCTTCATGTTTTACACGGTATATTCCTTTACCCGTTCAAACATTTCATTAAGTCTATTCAATAAATCTCAATTCCCACTATATACTAAGTGTCGTCTTAGCTTGGTCCATTATTGAAAAATGCTTTCAAATCTTAACATTTAGAATTTAATAGTCATTTTACAATAGAGTTCGTGAACTTCTTATTGGACCTTATAAAATTGACCTTTGCTCCCACTAAACTTCTTATCTATAAGAATTTCTATGTTTCTCCATAAGCCAACCTATATGAGAAACATGTTCCAATTCCTATATCCAATGTTTCCTACAATCCACCAATGGATTGCTTTAGCTTACTTTTGTTGGGTTTCGTAGCGTCCAACACTACGCGGAATGAAACTTGCCCAAGACTTGCACACTAATTAAGGGAATTAAACATGCAATCACATAACTAAACAACAAAAGAAAGAGAAAGAGAAAAGACGATCTTACCCTCGACGCGCGTTTTGCTTACTTACGAACTCTTACTTGAAAGCTCTAGCTTCGCAAGTGCGTAAGCCTCCGACGGCTCGCACCCTCGACCCGACCCGAGCGGTCTCTACCCCAAAGGTTAGTCGGGGCTAGACCAAAAAAAAACTAGATTATTACGAACTTAAAGGTTTTCTCACATTCAAGGAGATGTCTTATTTAGTTCAACTCAAGTGCTTTTTCCCAAACCCAAAACATGGGTATTTATAAGGAAAAGAGCCTTGATTTCCCATTCCCCATCAATGTGGGAGAATTGCATTTTTCTCAATTTATTTTAATCTAAAACAAATTAAAATGCAAATTAAATCAACAAGTCCCAAGTGGCAAATGGTGAGCAAGGCTAAGTGAGGACCACTGAGGGGGGGACCAAAACACCACTTGCTCCCCAAGTAATCCCCAAGAAATCGGTCCCCTCCTTGACTGTGAGCTGGCCACGCATGGAAAGCAGCTAGCCTGCCTTGGATGCCAAAGCTGCCTAGCTGGCGCCTGGCATCTTGGCTGGGCTTGCTGGCCAGCCCGCATATGCATGCACACAGCCAGCAAGCCACGCATGCAATGTGGGCTGCTGTTGCTGCGTAGCGTATGCTAAGCTCTACCTGGCAATTGTTGCTTGTGCTAGGCCCTGCTCAGCACACAAGCATGCACAACCACAGCACACGCACACATAGCACGCTGCTTGTGCTAGTGCGATGCTACGATCTGTGTTGTGCGATGCCCAGCATGTTGTGATGGCTGGTGCTGCTATGCTAGCAAGCACACACAGCCATAGCACACATACGCATGGCACGATGCTTGCGATGCTCGTGCTGTATGATGTGTGAGTACTGTGCAATGCCCACCATGCTTGCATGCATGCGGTTGGTGACCTCGCCTACCTAGCACTCGCATGGCTAGGCCAATGCGAGGCTACGGCTTGGCTCGTAATTGTCGCTTGCTTGATTCCACGTCTCGTCGAATACTAAATTCGACTTGACTTGTGACGCTCGGTTTCGACGCTTTAAGCTCGATATCCGACGTCTTTGTTCGTAATATTCTAATGACTCATCTAATCCTTCGGATTGATTCGTCGTCTCGGATCGATTATTCGATTAGGGTGCGACTCGAAGGGTTCAGTCAAAATTAAGCCGTAAAATTAATTACACATTAATATTACTGATCGTAAGCGGCCTCCACCTAGGCATTCTGATCACTTGGCCTCACTGAAGAATTAGCTTTCTAATAATTTCGAACCCTCTATTGGAATAATACACTTGTTGAAAGGACACCATTCCTTTCACCTTTCATATCTAGCATTATCTAGATTAATCAAAACCCTTAGACTATATCCAAAGTCACTTCCAAAAATTCCATTTTAGAAAGGTAGTTTCGATATCTATTTAGCTATATTTCATATGCGTAATTTTGCTAGAATAATCAGACTTAAGCATTCCGATTAGTGAATAGGTTTTACTAAAATCAACGTCGTGAATTTAATTGTAACCTTTTCAGCCAATCTAACTATGTATGCATATACTTCCTCCGTTTTTTTTTATCTGCAACTTTGGAATATTTTATGTCTCACAAATATTCCTCAAAGTTGCAAATAAAAAAAACGGAGGTAGTATATTTCCATATTTGTTAGTTTTCTCCTTGAAAACTTATTTTGTGATTGATGGGTCTTTACCCTTAATGCAAATTAATCAAGTTTCAAACATGATTTTCAAACATGGAGTCTGTTTCGGATTTTACGGCCTCTAACCATTTTCAGAATTCGGACTTGTCGTAGCTATCTTACAAGACACTATTCCCTTACTATCCAATAGTAAATAGTTTTCTTGTAAGTCTTAGGTTCATTTCTAGCTTAATAGAAACTTTATAGGATTCAATCCAAGCCTTTTGGTGAATTCTATACCTATACAAGGTAATTTATCGCATCAAACACTGAGTTTCAAGGCGCTTCTGAAGCCCTTTGGTTGTTTTGATCTTACTACTACACTTTTAAAGGTTTGTAAGTAATGAATTCTCTTGAAGGCACTTGTAAAGTCCTTTGAGTATTCTTGATCAATGATTCTCATGAAGCCTTTATAAAGTCTTCCGAGATTCTTTGTTCTGGTTTGTTTCTCGTCTCGGTTGTCATCGAGATCATTTTCCTCCCACTTGTCGTTTTGGAAATGTATTACTTTCCAGAAAGACAACACGTAGATCAACAAGTACTATGTTCTCAATTTGGTGTGGAATTAATGCCTCTTGTCTCACTTGAATGCTTATAATGAGACATGTATATTGTCTTTAGTTAAAGGTTCGTTGTGAAACAAACAGTTAGCTCCCACTTGAGCTACCTTAGCCCATTTTAGCCATTTAGCTCCCACTGAACCAATGAGCTCCCACTGACGCTAAGAGCCCTAGACATATACTTGAAAAGACGCTAGAAACTATTTCTATCCATAACTTACTATGGTGTCTTTTCTTAGCTTCAACTATTTTGTTTATTGTAACATTAGTCATTTGTGCATATCTCTAAGAACGTTGTAGGAAAGGATGTGATTCATCATCATTCGAGTCATTTCCAAATGGCTTCGAGGTCTCCGTCGAGATATACTATATTCTTTGTGGAGCTGATTGTTCCATAATCAGCAATCATTCTGTTTACACACGGAAAGACTCACATTCATATTGTTCCATAAACAGAATGATTACACAAAGATTGTTCCATAATCAGCAATCATTCTAGTAATATTGCAGCAAGCATACTATATTTATTTTTTAATTTTTTTAATTGTTCTACATATATACCATCGAAAAAACATATCACCATTTGGACAATAATAATGATTTAATGTTAATATAATTGTTTTGAGTTTTGACATTGTTAATCACCGTTCGCCTTTGAAAAATCACTAAACAAAAAATAAAAATAAAACGTTTAAGGTTATTAGAGCGGCTATCGCGCGCGATACGAGCGTCATATCTAGCCATATTACTATATTTCATTTACACTATAGTAAGCTAATTGGCGAGTTTGATGGTATTTTTTATTACACTACAATTAGCTAATTGGAGAATTTGATGGTCAACTAATTCAAAGAACTTATTCCACTAAATAAACTCAATTTCAAAAGCTCTTTTTTTCACTAGCTGATTGAAGTATCTGAAAGTAAGATGACAATTATGCCCCCAATTAATCTAAAACCCTAATGTCCTTATTGCAATAATTGGTCATTTTGCATATTGAAACAACTTTAAACAATTAGCTATTTACCAAACACTTCGATACAATCAGTTAATCAAATTAATTGATACAATTAGCTACTCAAAATCAGGAAACATGATCAGGTTAAGCTTTGCCAACAAATATTAAAAACTAAAAAACAATCAACCAAGGTGCAAATATACAAGGACCAAAAATTATCGTGATATATATGGTAAATTCAATCAATCACAACCTATATTACTACCAATAACAGCAAAATTATGTACAAATTCATTCCAATGAAAGAAAAAATAAATTCCTTGCTTCCATTTCCTTTACCTGTGCAAATCAAAGGGGGAAAAAAAGGCTATTGATACATTTACCAAGGACTAAGATGAAAAGAAAGATTACAAGAGAAAGAAAAATACTGTACAAAAAATTGGTAAGCTAGACTGCTAGATGGAAGGGCTAGCTAAAAAGAATTGCCTACAACTTATCATTCTACTGCAAGTCAGCAATGAAAAATTTGGGTGTTTCTTCAGTCTTCGACAATTACGATCTATGTTAGTACCTAATGAAATAAAAGAGCAAAATAATCAATTCATCTTCTCCAGTTTTCAGGCATCTACTTGAAGCAAAATGGTACTTCAAAGCACAAAACTAACCTTTCAGCAACTGATTGTTATTTTGGTAAAAGTTCTTCAACTTCAATTTTAAGGAAGTTTGAATTTGATTCCCTTACAGAAACGTCCACAGAAAATGATGAACAAACAGGCCGGTGATCAGAAAACTGATACTTATTAGAGTCCTTACGTTCGTAATGTAACTGCTGCATACCATCCCCTTTCCATAAAATTCTGTCACACCTGTAAAGTTGTAAGTCATCGACAAGTTAAGAAAATATATTTAAGACAGGAAGATTATGGAAAATGTAAATCAAAATTCAGTGCTGATACCAAGCAGGAGTTCTTCTTTTGCTTGGTGAGATGTTGGTTTCTCCAAGATATATGTCTGAGTTAAAAGAGTACTTGTAAGTAGGTGCAAATTTTATAAGCCCTTCTCTCCATCCTTTGAATACTCGCCCAGCCTCCCTCTCAATTTTCAGCTATTCAAACACAGAATCACATCAGCAAACATATTGCAGTTCATAAATTATAAATCTAAATTATGGTGGCAACACATGAACAAACTTGTTCCTTTTGTTTCCCTGTTACATTTACTTTAATGAGACAAGTTACCAATACAGCTCTGTTGAGAAAGTAACTTTAAAACACAAAAATTCAGGCCATTGAGCAGTTTTAATTACTGTGAATCAGGAATTTAAACATTTATAGGCTGTGTTCTTCACTTTAAGATTACATATTTCAGGATGAAGTAAGTTCAGATAAGTGAGTTTTAATTAAATAGAACGTAGTCTACAAAATCTGAACTAGAAGGCATTGACAATGGATGTTCCGTGAAGGACTTCAGCAAAGATGTAATGAAGCAAATAACAGTACAGTGTAACACATACCTGATCCTTGCTGAGCAGCGCCTCCCATTCCCTTTTCTTCAGCAGCTTCAGGGTTTCCGTATGACTTAAAGCAATCCTGTAATTCAAGTCCCCAAACCATATGATACGGCTAGTGTTTTTTTAGCCCCACCCATCAAATAAATTTGTCAGACATTATCAATAAAGTAATATCAGTAATCTGTAGCAGAAAACTATATATAACCTACTCATGCTCTAATATTCTTTCTGGAATTTGGCTGTTCAAAACTTTGCATCTTCTTGGGAAATAAGTACTTTTAAGTATCTCTATAACATCCAAATTCCTTCTAAGCTCATCTCCTTCTTTCTCTCCAGATGCCAGATGGCTGCATATGAAACAAAAGCTCGTTCGATGCAAAAGCATGCTCACAGAGATGCAACCCTGTCAAAAGATATACATATCAGCTTGTTCCAGAAAGATATGAATCCAAAAGTTGTGTTTTATTAATCCAAAAAAACAAAGAAATTACCTTGTTTCCCAGGCCCATGATACCACGACTAATACAAGAAGTTTTCAAGTGACTAATATGTGGAACAAGCTCCCTCCTTACCCATATTGTGAGAAAAATCCCAACCATCTGCTTACTTACAATTAAGCTGTATTTCTGGTTACTTCCAGAAGAATTAATGATTTCTGAAAAAACAACTCCATTTGGTCCATCGTCTTCCTCTGATGAATCATCACTTAAGTTACTTTGTTGGCAGCGAAAACAAGAATCCCTGGTGTATCTTCTCTCTAGATCTGAGACACAGTTGCATGACTTGAGCTTCTTTTTGCTTTCTGTCCTGAATTGCTTGCTCATAGCTTTGAGGGAGTACTTGGGAAAGAACAGTGAGCCACTCGCCGTGCTTGTTAGTTTATTATTTTTGGTTCCATACATAGTCTTTGCTTCTATCAAAGAGGTTGCTTTTCTCAGAGCTTGGAAGTGGTTATTACTTCCATTGAGAGACTGATTAATAAGAGCCAGCCACCTTGCGGCTGGCTCACTGTCTTCTAAAACAAGCACATTTCCAGCATTTAGTGGGACAATTTCCTGAAATCTACATACAACAAGCGATGATCATTACAAATCAAATTCCAAGTCCACTCAGAAAACAGATTACACATTTATGGATAATATCACAATTTAAGGTATGCAAAAAAGGGAGATAAGACTGGTTAATTAATTCTAATACAGATTTATTGAATAGAGGATTAAGAAAAAGAGCGAATTACCCCAGGACGTAGATATCTGAAGGAGCACTAAGCTGAAGAAAATCGTCAAGAACAAGGCTATTCTCTGGAGGCTTCCCTCCAACATTCCATGTAGCTACAAAAGTCCTGAGAAGAAATTTAAAAAATTTAGAAAAATCAGCAAAATTTAAGAAAACAGAAAAAAAAGATCCGAGTTTTGAAAGAAAATGCAACCAAGAAAGAAAAGAGGCAAGGGTAAAAGTGATCCTATGTACTTTAAGGTCTTGGCATTTTGAACTGCTGGCATTTCAGTTCCAGAATTAGTCAAGGTGTCTGCTTCTGCATAAGGCAAATCCATGAAAAAATCACCCACCAGATTTATAATCTAAATACACAAACCAATCAAACAGTAAATCGCAGCCACGACGACAAGACAAATTCAACAAAAAAAGCAAGAAGAATAATGTTGATATGCAAATTGCCAATTACTACCTGCCAATCTATCAGCTTTATGACAAAGATAAGATAGATTGGAATTTAGAAGCATATATATTATCCGCGCTTTAACTCACTATTAACAAGATTTGCCATAATCATAATGAATCATATTCTTACTCATAGATGCCAATAAATTTGGACCACTTTTTCCTAATAACTTTCCTACCAATGTGACATTATAAGTAATTCGATAATGACATTCATTGATTAAAAAGGCGAAATACCATGTTATTGTACAATGTTCGAACATGAAAGATTAACAGAAACACTAGCAATAGCTTACATCATGTCGAAAATAAAAACATAACGAAGGATTCGAAATAACTAACCAGAAGGGAATTTAATCCCTCGTCGACTTCTATCTTTTGATGAAAACATTTTATGAATCAAAGACTGAAAAAATAACACAAAATTGAAGGTCAAAAGAAAGGTTTGCCAAGACGTGGCCAACATATAAAGCCAATATCTTGAAGAATGACAGCACAATTGGTCGGCATTTTGGTAATGGAAAATCCAGGAAATAAGGATTTAAACCAAATAATTTAAAAAAACAACTATTAGAGGGTGTAAACTGTAAAGTATTTGATCACATGAAATAATTAAATAAATAGAATTTGTTACATAACATATAGTTTGAGTAATTAACGAATGATGGAAAAGTGAAATATAAGCATTTTATAATTATAATTTAAATAATTAGAATAATAATTATACCTTGCTTTTTCTATCTTGTGAATTCAAAGCCATCTGAAGACCATCAAAAATTTGATAAATTGCTCTGGCCCAGAATCTCCAAACCCCATAAACTGTTGTATATTTATGCAAAATATACCAAGGGTGATTAAACTATAATTAATTTATCAAATCTAAATACCCTTGAATTAAGAACAATTTAAGGGATTTGTAATCTTATTCACAACCAAAATCCCCCTTTTCAATTTAAATATAAATCAATAACAAGCAAAATATAAAAAATTTCTAAAACAAAAAAAGATAATTACAAGAATATAATGCAAGAACAGAACAAATGAGGATTAAATAAGAAGGAAGAACCCATAAATCAATGTAATAAAAAATTAAACTAAAAACCCCAAATTTGAGATTTTTTATTTTAATAAATTAATTTCGAGAAAGTCAACCTACCAGCCATTGAAATTTTCAAGGGAAAAACCTGGGAAAATGGAGAAGAATGAAATATAAATCTGAGACAAAAACATTTGAAAATTTGGGGAAAAAATTTGAGAAAAAAATAATGATAGAAACTTGTCTTGTAACATGAAGAAAGGTATCAAAATTCCAATAACATGAATATATAAACAAATAAATTGTAAATAAAAGAAAGGGTCAAAATGTTGAAAAAAAATAAAAAAAAAAAAAAATCAAAGAAGTTGTACTAGTTTTTTGGAAGAACCTTGAAATTCCCAAGAAACCAGAAAATTTCTGGGAAATGTTATAATATTTGTTTGTATATGATAAATTTGAGATGGTGTTTTTTTTTTTGTTACTCGTATAATCTCTACAAGAATAGGAAATAAAATTGATTGTTGCAAAATTGGTTAGCAACTAAATTAATGCCCGTGCGATGCACAATAGTAATAATCTTTTTTCCATAATTATTTATAATATAATATAAAAACAAGGCAATTCATGTGGAATAAACAAATGCAATGTATATAAGAGAAATGAAATAATTAGGCAAAAATTATTAAAACTACAATTTAGAAAAAAAAAATTATTTTTTATTAGTTGTGTTGAAAATATTTTAAAATAGTGTACATTATATAATATTAATGATGCATGTTATTCCCAATAAAATTATGCAATGTAGAAGTCTTTTTATAAATGAATTAATTTAGTCCAAAAAAAAATACTATACAGATAAAATAAAATTAAAAAAATAAACTTAAATCTGACATCATATATTTTATTGGCGGGAAATTTTTTACTGATAGCTTGACATATGTCTAAAATAATTGATGTAAGCATGACCTGTTTTAGCAATAGTTAATAGATTTTTTGAAGGGAAAACATGTTATAAGTTGGTAAAATTATTACAGAAATATTTGATAGAAAACTCGGTCAATTATTATTATTATTTCATAAGATTTCAAATCAACACCATGAATAGAAATGTTTTTTTCCATTGAACCCCACTATTATACAATTATATATGGTAATTTAAATGTTAATATTGTATTTTTGACCCCATTATTTTATATTCTCCATCATATTTCAACCTTCTAAATTATAATTAATTCTCCCTTAATTAAAAGGTCTCAAAATCTTGTATAACTATTTGACGTAAATAGAATACGAAATAAAAAGGAATAATACAATTATTATAAAGATAATATATAAGATTAAAAATAATATATTATTATAGTTGTATGATCCAAATATTCCAAAAATAAAAATGATTTTGCTAGAAAGGGAAAGGGGAGTTTTGGAGGGAAAAAACAGCACTTGAAAGTGGCACGTGTAATTCCGGGTGTCTGTTTTAATATTATGTTACTGATTGATAGCAACTCCTTGATTAGGTTTTCTAATTTGATTATGTTCCACAAAATATAATCATGTGAAAGTTCTTAAATTAAAATAATTGTTTATTTAATTTTATATTTAAAAATATATAAATAAGTTAACAAACTGGGTTAACTTATATGAAAGTGGACAATTGAGTTAATAAAAGTTACAATTAATATAAAACGAAATACATAAATTAATTTATAAATTTGATTATTGTAAAATTGGGTTAGAAACTGTTTGATTGGGTGTAAAATTGTTATAGAGAGAAGAGGCAATGACCCCACGTGTGGGGAGTTAACAAACCAAATCTTACGTTTTACGGAGTATGGAAATTTCCCAATTCCCAATGACTAAAGACCATAGTCTTCGTTTACTCTACCACCTTCCATTATTTATGTGTTTTGTATTGATATTGTATTTTGTATGAGATGGTTTTATCTCAACCAACAACATACGTTTTAGCTCTCTATTTCTTTGTTGTGTGGAGGGTAATCTTTTGTCCACTTTCATATAAGTTTCCAAAGAAGAAAGATTTATGTTAATGGCTGTGTTATTCTAGTAGTAACAAGTGTCGAGTTTGTTGTGGGAGAGACGTGTTTTCGTTTTACCAAGATTAGTTGTCGTCGTGGGGAAGAGATGTTTTTTTGTTTTCTTAAAATTAATAGTCGCGAAAGATATAAATGGCAGTTGATGTAATTAGGTTGAGTTTTATGCGCATGATTTGAGTGTTACACCAAAAATGTACAGAAATAACTAAGATAATGGACATCTATTAGTGGGGGATAGTGTCACTTACAAACTCATGTGCTTGGAGCTCTAAGTTGGAAGTAATGAAAGGTAAAGATAAGCCGGACATTTAATTTGTTCAAGATAAACATAGTTCATTTTTGAGCAAAGGAATCGAACGAGGTAAAGAACTTATATCATGCCATATTCTCTACCTATCTTGTTAAAATTACTGAAAACCCGCTTTAATGCATAAAAGGTATGCCTAAGACTAAAATTTATTTCTTGTAAGCCAAAAGATTTACACAAACTCTTATTATTTTTTAATACATCAAGTCAAACTCCCGTTAATTATTTTAATTAATAATGTAGAAACGAATACATATATCAGAAGAGATAGCAAACAAATGGGTTGGGTTAGGGTGGCCCCTCTACCCTTGCCTATAGGCAATTGTCATGGGTCAGGTTGAGCCTAAGCAAAAAATTAAGGGTTTGTTTGGCATCTTTTTTATTTCGGTTTTCTGATTTCTTGAAAACAAAAAAAAAAAAATTAAAAATCAAACAAACATAAAAAAAATTAAAAAAAAAAAAAAAAAAAAAAAAAAACGGGAAACAAGAATAAAGGTGTTTCCACTTTTCTGTTGTAAGTTTTCAAAATTATCGTGATTTTAATATAGATCATATGATTTTGAAAAACAAAAACACCAAACAATAGAAAACCACAACGTTATCAAATGAACCCTAGAGTTTTGAGTTGGGACAAGAATACAAAATCGGGCTAAAAAATATAATAATAGGAATAATGAAAACTAATAATTCCACCTTTGCTCAATCTTCTCAAAACACTCCCATTTTTCTATTATTCCAAAATAATTCCACCTTTGACAATATGGATCCTTTTTTAACGATCTCTTTGACCTATAACCGATTAAACCGGTCAAAATCTTTTTTCTTTCTAGGTCTTTATCTCCTCTCACCATGCCCACCAGTGGAAGCATCACCATAACACCACCCCTAAACCCACTTGCCCCTTGCCGCCGCCCCCACCCCCACCCCTTGCCAGTTGCCACCACCCCAACCACCACGAAACACCCCACCCACCATGAAACCAACCCTGAAAACCCCCACCCCAACTTTGAACCCTAGCCTCGAAACCCCTACCCTAACTCTGAACCCTAGCCCCGAAAACCCCCCATCCTAACTCTGAAAACCCAGCCCCGAAAACCTTCCCACACCCCTGAAAACACCACCCTAGCCCCAAAAACCCCCACTTGACCCCCGAAAAACCAACCCCTAGCCTTGAAAAAGCCCTAGCCATGTTGGAAAACCCACCCCAAAAACCAAACGCCCACCCGAAAACCAAACCCCTACCCACCCTCCAAAACCCTATCCTTAATCCCGAAAAATCCCTAGCCACGTCGGAAAACCCACCTTGAAAACCAAACACCCACCCCACCCATAAACCCTCCGACCACACTAGAGTGGTTGTTCATGCGTTTAGGGGGTTGGGTTTGGGGTTTTACCTATTAAAATCCAACATGTGGCAAAAAAAAACCCTAAGAAAATCAGTTACCAAAACAATCTAACCGGTCAGGAATCGTTAGAAGAAGATTATGGTGAAAGGTGGAATTATTTTGAAATAATCAAAATGTGAGAATGTTTTCGGGATATGGAGCAAAGGTGGGATTATTAGGTTCCATTTTTCAAAAATATATGCCCAAACCCACCATATTAGGCCAAAAATAGTTGATTTTTTAGATCATTTAATTTTATATCTAGGCCAAAATTATAACTAAAATTATTTTAGGCTGCTTAAAACCCACAAACATAAAATTAAAAATCTCTCCAAATCCATGTAAATTTTAACCAACAAGTCGGTTCGAACTAGTCTTGACTTGGTCTACAGTACCCATAACTTATTTTAGGAACATCACCCATGGGAACACTTTTATTTTTTAGTTCTAATTTTACATGAAAATAGAAGATTTTTAAATGTTGTACAAAAAACTAACACTAATATTGAATTCTTTTGCAAAGATAATCACATACTAATGATTATGTTTAGCAAACACATTACAAAGTTAGAGTTTACTTAGAGAAAATCTATCATCAAAATTAAATTTTACTTCCTCTGCTTTACAAATATTGCAACAAAGATGAAATTACGCATCCCGAAACACATTTTATATGCTAAAAATTATAAAAAGTTGGTATTGTAAAAGTATTTTACGAGACGAATCTAACAAGACCCCACATGACTATATTTTACTTCACGTATAAATTATAATATGTGGTCAAACAAGCGTGATGAATAATGTAAAAGTCCAATTGTTGCAATATTTATAAAACGGAGGAAGTATTTACTAATAGATAAAATCTATCAAAGTTAGATTTTATTTAGAGAATAACTATCATTAAAGTAAGATTATTCTTTACAAAAACATTTCATTTAATCATTTGGTCTTTTTCTTTATAGAAGCCCCATTTCTTGTACCTTTTTCCTACCTTTTTGTTGCCCCCTAAATTCACCACGTCTTCGAGCCAAATGAAACCTTTATCTCCCTAAAACACCCCCAACAAATGTTATTGATAGATAAAATTTACTTTGACCTTGACTTTGACTTGAATGGATGACTGAAGCAGCCAAAAGGTATATGTTGAATATTTAAATCATACCAAACCAAAGATGTATAAAAAGATGCCATTCCATATTGCATAATGCATATTGCATGTTGAATACTTTTACTATAATCTATAGTTTCAAAAAGCATGCATAAGCAACTAATGGACCAACTTCTCCCCAATCGGTTTTATACTTATTTCATTAATAATGTAATTGTTACATTGTGTTTAAATCCATTCTTCATTTCT